TATCAACATGTAATCAGAGAAGTGTTTGTAACAATGATAATGAGAATGTTGTAGAATAAAATTCTGTAAGTGAAAATGCCATGCAAATTATGGCAATGATAAATCCTTCGCATCCTATAATTGAGAATGTTACAGGGCATGTGATTGTGTCACAACTTGCAATTGTAAATGCTACAAGAGAGTACCCATAGCGTACACCTCCTAATTGGAGACCAATACAATCAATGAATATGGAATTACCATTGATATATTCTATGCCAAATGTAAACTCTCATGGACATTTACACGTGTATGGATATAATACGAATCCACAAGGATTAGGCTTTGTAATGCACGAACCCTTTCCACATGTTGGAACTAGTCAAGAAGGGTTTATGATGAGGCAAATAAGTTACATGCATATTGGAATCAGTAGTCAAATTATGATGGCTTTGAGACAACAAATAGATCATACTAATCATGGGATTGTCAATATGTTGACTAGGGATGGCAACGGAACGGGTCGGATACGAGTTTCATGATATCTGTCTCCGTTCCTGCAACTCAAATCTATTTCCGTACCCGTACTCGTACTCGTCAGGTATATTATTTTCATTTTCATTCCCGTCCCCATTAGGTATCGTGTATACCCGTACCCATACATGTCATTTTTTTAAACACATAATATTTTTAAATTATTTTTTTATTATATTATAATTATAATTAGGATATTTCTCTATCTCATATTTTAATCAAGAGACTTTTTAATAATTAAACAACTATAAATATTTCACATTATAATAAATAATCACACATAATAAAATATTAAAATTCTTTAACACAATTAAATCAGGAATGAGTATTAAACCAGGGATGAGGACGGGGATGAATACAGGACGGGTAAGTATATATCCGTACCCGTACTCATACCCGGTTTAATATATTGTGTTTTACCTGTACCCGGTCAAACCAGTTATTTCTCATCAAAGTCGAGACGGGTTTAGATATTATCCATGTATACGAGTTTATTTGTCATCTCTAATGTTGACTACACAAATTCTATTGTTTTAACACATTTTTATGAGTTGATTAAAAAAGTGAGAGAAAAAATAGATTCCTCAAATTCAAATCATGATACAGATTTAGAAACTAAAAGAACAATGTATAATAAGGGTTTTAGACCAAATTCATCAAAACCATAATAATTAGCCTAAGAATGTCAAAGGCAATATAAATCATGTGGTAGAACAAGTGTTTAATAGACATATTTGATATAGGGTATTATCCCAACCTTGTTTTGTTTTTGCTTTTCCGGACTTTATAACTCAAACTGAATTGCTAAGGGGAACTAAAATTCCTAAAATTTCAAAGTTTGTTAGAGAATTAGGAGAATCTACAGTAAAACATATAGCTAGATATCAAGTCAAATGTAGTGGCTTGGTTGCAAACAAATATTTGAAAATGAAATATTTTTCCAACTCATTGACAAAAAATGCATTTACTTGGTTTACTATGTTACAACCAAATTCTAATTATTTGGATAGAGTTAGAGATGAATTTTCATGAACATTTCTTTCGATAGGAAACTAAAGTTAGTTTAGTAGATTTGTTAAGCATCAAAAGATTTCAAAATGAATCATTAGATAATTATTTAAATATATTTAGACAAATGAAATCTTAATGTTACATATAAATACCCTAAGCATGGATTAGTAAAAATAGTTGCCATTAGATTAAATTTTTCTATTCAAATGAGATTGGTCAATGAGAAATTAAGAAATATGACTCAATTAGCAGAAAAGGCAAGAAAAATAGAACAAATCAAAATAGAAAAAGAAGTAATGAAGAAATTCAATAGATTTTTCAAAAAGAAAGAATTGTTTATATCAATAATCCTTATTTTCATGAAGATAGAAATTTTGAAGGTAGTAGTAAAGAAGTTAATTTAGCTAAATTACAACCTAGACCAACTTATAAATGCCACATGCTTAAACTAGGGGAAAATAATATAAAAAATGGGAAAAAAAATTTATCAAACCAAGAGAAAATAATGTCTAAAGTAAATAACTTTTTTTGATATTTTTATTGAAAGATAAGCATATCATGTTGCCAAATAATCTTAAAATTATTGCTTTTAAGCAAAGAAAAGGAAAAAAGTTTTGTAAGTATCATAATATATGTATGGTCATTGAACTAACGGTTATGTTTATTTTAGGGATTTGATTGAAAAAGTTATTACTGATGGTTATTTGGCTTTCAAGGAGAAAGAGATGAAAGTAGATATTGATCCATTCAACGCTCAAACTAGATATATGGAACCTTTTTTGATTATGATGGTTGACATGAACATGAAGAATAATCTAAAGGATGTCAAACCTATATCTAAAGAAGGACTGGATAAAATTGTTGGAGGACTTCTCAAAAAGAAGAGGCAGAAGAAATATACCCTAAGGAAGGATACACTCAACTAGATTTCTTTTTGAAAGAAAAAATGTGGGGAGAAAAGTGACATTGTCTCCTCGATGCAATGTTGTACTCGATCGATCTATTGCCAAGTCTTTTTAAGCTTTTGAAAGGCTTAAGATTTATATAAGTGAGAAGCAACAAAACAAAACCAACTCAAATTTGAATTTGTCAATGAAACAAATTCACACGGCTTAGTACAATGCACCCATGGGAAGGATGTATATGAATAATTCAACGAGATGTGGGAACACATATTTGCCTAATGCAAGTGCACCTTTTGGAAGGTGGAGTGGATCACCTAACAATTTCGATAGGTTCAATCGAGGGAAACAAGTGATGAATTTTAGACCCCTAATTCAAGGTGGACTTAGGTTTTTTAACGGCACAATGGACATTATAACAAGAGGAATTGGACATTTCCCAATTCAACGAAAACTTAATGGATGATACACAAAAAATGAGGAAAGCTATTGTTGAAGGCTTTGGAGGGAGCAACAAATCTTTTGTGTCTGTTCTGCCACAAAGAAGGGAATCATTAAAGAAAATATTTGGAATGGATGATCAATATATGCTTACTAACTATTTTGATTTTGGATTCGAAGATTCTTTGGAGAACATTTGCGAAGTAGTGTTCATTTTACCAACTAAATATGTAGGAGCTATGTAGGCAATGATTGAGCACGAGGATAAGAAAAGAGAAGAATTTGTCAAAGACCCAAATTATGAGTCAAAAGTGGTTTGGGTCAACTAAGTTTCATGTGTGCTACCAATATTCAACACTTCGATTTTTGATCCCCTAACTGTTGAAATGAAGGGACACTTAAAGGACAAAGGGTCGAAAAAGTATTGGTAGATGGAGGGGTTGCCATCAATGTATTGCTCAAAACCATGTTAAGGATGTTGGACAAAAATATCTATGATTTGAAGTCTCGCAACATATTAATTTCTAATTATGCAAGGAAGTCTTATGAATTAGATGGAATGTTTTTGCTCGATGTACATGTAGGGAGTGTCAAAAGGACAACAATGTTCATTGTTGTTTCTTTAAAGGCCAACTTTAACATTCTGCTAGGCTGAGAATGAATCCATGGGGTGGGTGTTGTATCTTCGACTTTTTACTAAAAGATTTTAATTTGGAATGAGGAGGGACAATTAAAAGTAGTGAATGTTGACCATAAATGTTATGAGATAGGAGTTTACTTTACTAATAAGCAAAATACTATGTTTGCACAAACTAAGCCTTTTGAGGTTGAAGACCTAAGTATAATGGATAAGAAAGAAGGGATTTAGAAGATTTTATGTTGGCACATGAATAAAGGATTTGCAGTAAAGAGAGCCTAAGTGAGTTTGACTCAAACTAACACCTAGATAAAAGAAGGTCTCTATTTGAGCTTTTTAGCTTGAATGATGACCTACATGGCCAAAGAAGTAGTGGGCAATTGGGCCACAACAAGAAGTAATTTGAATTATGATTGATTAAAAAACATATTTGAGTTGAATTAGTTAATTTGAATAAAAATAGCTCATTAATTGAAAACCACAAAAAAAAATGATATATTGAAAAACTTTATGGTGTGTTTGGATGGGGAATTTTACAAATTCAAGGAATTTTAAATTCTTGGTATTTGAATTACTTTGATTTCAATTTCTATCATTCTTAAAATATTTTGTTTGGATAAGTCAATTCAAATTTCTCAAATTTTAAATTGTTAGGTTGGATATGATAATTTGATTCTATCATGATAAAATTGATTTTAAAAATATATTTATATGTTGAGATTTTTAAATTAAATTTTATAAAAACAAATATTTGCTAATTTTTAAATATTTAATAATTTTAAAAATTAATATTAGATAATATTTAATAATTTTAAAAATATTTTTGAATATTCAATAATTAAAAACATGAAGAGATAAGAGATAAGATAAAATATATAAGTGAAATAAGAAGAAAAAAATATGAGGAATTTCAAATTCTTACTCTTTTGGGAGAATTTGAAATTCTACTATTTCAAGGAATTTCACAAATGCTTGAATTTCAAATTCCTTATAAATTCCTCATCCAAACAAGGTATTTCACCTCAAAGAATTTGAAATTCTTCAAATAAATGAATTACTCCATTTAAATTCTCCATCCAAACACACTATTAGGAAAGATGTGTGATTGGATATTGATCTTAATTCAAAATTCATTGTATTAAATTTAAAATCCTATTTTTAGATTAATTTTTAGCAAAATAATATTACATAATGTTTTTGGAAATGTTTTTTTATTTCTCCAAAACTTTTCTTGTATGTTATTTGATTGGGTGTCAAAGGAGGAAATTTTTAATAGTATCTTTGTATGTATATCGATGTATATTGGTATTAATTGAAATTAAAAATAAAAAAATTAAATTAACACTTTAGTAAATGATATGATAATATTTCTATGTCCGAAAAAAAAATATAACAAGGCAAGCCGTATATTTGGTATCAAGCATTGACCCTTGAGCATTGCTAATTCCTAACTAAACTTAAAAAAAGAAAATTAAAATAAAATAAAATAAAGAACAGTTCGTCTTATAGCGGCACGTATCAGAGAAGCCATACATACATACATACACGACTGAATCGAGTTTTCTTTCTCTTCCTGCAAATTCAAAACCCAATTTCAGCCTTGATTTGAAACTGACCTCGCGCACGGTTCCGCTTAGATCCAATTTCCCTCCTCGTAGATTTTCCGCTTTTTCCCATTCCGAGGAAGGAAATCGATCCAATGCCGCTTTGAATCGCGTGCCTCGGGAACATCTTGAATTCGATTGTTGGAGCAGCTGGGTCGACGAGTAACATGTCTCACTGCTTCTGAAACTCAAAAGGTCCTTCTTTTATTATTCTTTCTGGGGCTGCTCTTTGTTTGAAGAGAGGGTAACATATGGGGATGGGTTCCAAAATGGAAGGACCGTCTACCCCAGCAATTCGACGTGACCCATACGAGGTGTTATCCGTTTCTAGGGATTCAACCGATCAAGAAATTAAAACGGCCTACAGAAAGCTTGCTCTTAAGTACGTTTCCATCTTCTTCTCTTTTCGTTTTTCAATTCCCCTTTCTGCGTTTTCTTAATTTATTATTGTTTCAATTTTCGCTTCGGTACTTGCATATGCACGTGTGTCTCTCGTTGTTTTGGAAGCTGCTGTTTTTGTTTGTTTCAAGTGTGTTAGGTCTTTATTTTTTTAGTGATTTACTTTCCTCTGCGAATGGAATAGGGTTTCTTTCTAAATTTCTCATGAACGCTAGCATAACCTTCTTAAGTAAGATGGTTTTGAAGGTGATGAACATTATTATCTAATCTGCTAAAACATCCTTTCATGTTAAAAAGTGCACTGAATGGAAGAAGGAGACTAGGGTACATAGATTTGGGAGGAGGATTAAATCTGTTAAGGACAAAACTTAGGATGTAGTTCTTATATAATCTTAGGTGCTTTTGGTGCTATACTCCAATCAAATGTGGGGTTTCACTTCATAATCTACGCAGTAAAGGTTTGTATTAAAGATCGGTAGAGATGTGAAACTCTACTTATGATCGGAGAATAACTCTAGAAGCATCTAAGGACTGTATTTAGGTCTTATCCTTAAGTTAAACCAATGTACAAATGTTGATGTTTGCCTTTTGTTTTGGTCTTGTAGAATCGGGGAGTTTATTTACTTGCTTTATGGGTAAGACAATGATGATGAAAAACATGTATGGGTTCTTTTCACACATCTCTAATTCTCTATGTGATTGACAGGTATCACCCTGACAAGAATGCCAGCAACCCTGAAGCTTCGGAGTTATTTAAAGAGGTTGCATATTCTTATAGTATCTTGTCTGACCCAGAAAAGAGAAGGCAGTATGACAGTGCTGGATTTGAGGTTCCTTTCTTACTGTCCGTCCCATGTGAATCCTTTTTCTGTGTTTTTTTACCAACCCTTCCGACATTATGAAAACAAAAATATGGTTTGTGTCATTGAAGAACTCTTTAAGTTGTTGGGCTGGGCAAAGTAGCAAACAAATGAGAAATGCAATGCTTGACTAGTTGGCTGTATCCTTTCTGGGGAGCATGTTCTAACATCTTAATTTTTTGGTGATCTATAAATGAATCTGCAAGAGTGTAATATGCTCTCAACATTTACATCTCATGAGAGAGGAAATACAGAATTCATATTTCCTGCTTGTCTGCAACTTGGAATTCAAGTGCATTGCATATCTTCCCTTAGGGCCAGTTTCAATAAATTTCTCCACAAACATTTCTAGGTGAAAAAAATTGGAAGGAAAAATGAAATAAGTTTCTTCATAAGCCAAAATTAACTTATGTACAAGTTAAAAATAAGTTTTTGTTGAAGCTAATATAAGAGAGCTTCTACAAATTAGGTTATGTATAAGCTAATTTTAGCTTATGGAGAAATTTATTTCATTTTTCTTGTATAAGTGCTCATGGAATTTTTTTTTATCTAAACTGCCCCTTAATATATTTATTTAACTGAAATTGGATTTCATGCCCGTTAGTTGTGAAAATTGTCATTTATTTCAGCACCGACACTCGTACATAAATGTTAGTTTTTTGTTTTCCTATCTTGATTTGTTTTGCTAGATTATTATCTTTTCTTTCAGTCCATAAATCCATCTTTGTTGTTATGACTGGCCAATTCTTGAAAATATGTTTCATTAGTATTCTGCTTCTTTTATGTTTGTAAATAGATTGATTTATATATTATCATCTGTATATATCTCTAGAAAGCTTTTTAAAGTTTCAGTTCATATTCTTCATGATATAGTTCTCATATTGATATGCAACATTCTCTAAGATAATCTGCCAATACATATCAGGCACTTGATGCTGATAGCATGGACATGGAAATTGATTTGTCTAATCTTGGGACTGTGAACACAGTGTTTGCAGCTTTATTCAGGTTTGCATTTTAGTGCACGACTATTTGTTTTCAAAATTATTTTCCTTTGCTTTCTTTCTTATTCTGTTTTGTTACAGTAAACTGGGTGTCCCTATCAAGACTACCATTTCAGCTAATGTTCTTGAAGAAGCTCTGAATGGAACAGTTACTATCAGACCCCTTCCAATTGGAACATCAGTTAGTGGAAAGGTTCTTACTTTCTTCGTGATGGATGAAGCTAAACATTTGTCTTCTTGGTGGTGTATTTGTTCCACTTACGTCAACAATTTGTTGCAGGTAGACAAGCAATCTGCTCATTTTTTTAGTGTGACAATAAATGAGCAGCAAGCTGAGTCAGGTATTGTAGTGAGAGTTACTTCAACTGCACAAAGCAAATTCAAGGTATCACTTATGCCTTTATTATAACAATTCCTTTGTCTGTCCATTTGTTGGGATTGTTTCTTGTTAGTATGGTATTGAATTGAAATTTGAAGGTTGATTTTTCAGTTGCTCTACTTTGAACAAGATGTGAATGGAGGCTATGGTTTGGCATTGCAGGTAATCTTTTATTGTTCAAATGCTTCTACGCTTGCTCCCCTAAACCTTTTGGCTTGTTGATTTAATGGATAATACTCATAATAGATTGGAATAACTATACCTTCATTGAGTGAGTTGAGGTGGTAAGCTTTCTCAATCATTTAGGATGAGAATGAGAAGTATAAATCTTGAGAAAAACTAGCTCTTGTGGGAAAGGCACATAACTCTTGCGAGTTCAAAAATAGTGTTTTCTTCGATTGTGGATGTGTCACTAGACTATTAGATTATCCAACTGTTACCTGTAAACTAAATAGCTCAACTTCTCTGTCTTTTTCTATCTAGTCTCTCCCTTCCTGTAACATAATATTGATAGCCACTGAGCATTAAGAAAAAAAATGATTGGAATTTTTTCAAGTGAAAAGCAAGACAGCACAAATTTGAATACTACCATGACTGCCATTCCCATTAAGCCTTTTTGCCCTGTGGTACTTGTGTTTCTCATCTGGATAAAACCGTGTCCCCCAAAATGTCAAAGTTTGCAAAACACATCTTGCAGATGGATTATGTAAAGTGGATGCTATGATCAAACGTCAGAGAAACACATAACACAAAGGGTAAAAGTTACTATTAATCCCTCTAAAATTTTCCAAATTCATTTTTGGTCCTCTAATTTTTTTTCCTTGTATTAAATTAGTCCTTCTAAAATTAAAATATGTTAAGGCCGATTCTTGTTTATTAAAATATCAGTGCTAGGCCAGTCCTTCTAAAAGTATAAATAAGAACTGACCTCAACATGTTTTTCTTTTAAAAGGACTAGTTTAATACGAAAATATTTTGGAGGATAAAAAATGAATTTGTAAATTTTTAGAGACTAAAAGTAACTTTTACCCCAACACAAACATTAAGCCAAAGAACATTGTGTGGCCTGCAACCAATTATTTGTTTGAATAATGTTGAGATACACCATGTGAATTGTTCTTAAGGTACTTGTATTTGATTTGTGGATTTCACAAACCATCACTAGTTATTTATCAATGTAATACTTGTGTAATCTCAATTGGGTGTATATTTAATTGATATTGTATGCAATTTTCTTTCTATACAGGAAGATAGTGAGAAGGCTGGCAAGGTGACATCTGCAGGAATGTATTTCTTACATTTTCAAGTGTATAGAATGGATTCAACAGTGAATGCGGTACAAACATTATGTTTATTAGGTTTCTTTTCCTTTTTGCTGTGGTATGTTCGGAAAGTGGTGGTTATTGTCAATGATATGTGCAGTTAGCAATGGCCAAGGATCCTGAAGGGGCCTTCTTTAAAAGGTTGGAAGGTCTTCAGCCTTGTGAAGTCTCAGAACTAAAGCCTGGCACTCATATATTTGCTGTCTATGGTCTGAATAATTTATTTTGTCATATTGTTGTTTTTCCTCGGGCTATTTTTTATGTAAACCTTTTAAGTTACATCTTCCCTTATTCAAGTTAATGTTGTTTAGGAGATAACTTCTTTAAGACTGCTAGCTATACGATTGAGGCAGTATGTGCAAAATCATATGAAGATACCACCCAAAAACTGAAGGACATTGAAGCTCAAATTTTAAGAAAGAGGAATGAGCTACGCCAATTTGAAGCAGAATATAGAAAGGTAATTATTTTCTTTAGTCATTCATGGTTTAGAGTTTTTTTTTGGACACTTAAGTGAATGTTGTTTCTATTAATACTTTTCAGGCATTGGCACGCTACCAGGAAGTGACAGACAGATACACACAAGAAAAACAATCTGTAAGTTCTTTCAACTTGTGCTACAGTTACAACACCACACTATATATCTTGAAATGCACGTATTTGCATTCCTATTAGCACTAATTTTGCCCACAACTTAGTTAATAATTCATTGAAAAAATTGCATATGTTCCAACCTAGATCGATTGCAAATTTTTCTCATTTGGCTGGCCAAAAATAGGACTGATAATCAAGACTAATTACATTATTTAAAGAGGAGTGGTTGGAGGAGGGGGGGGGGGTGTTGGAAGGCTCGACCAAGAATAGGGAGAAAGGAAACAATTCAACAATTGTTTCATTAAATGCTCATCTTAGCTTTTGTCTTTAATATAAATTATCACGTGATGATGTACTCAATTTCAAAGAATTAACTATTTTAATCCTAAACCTATTAATGTGTCCCTCCATACAGTAGTTACTATTGGATCTTCTATTGTTAAGCAAAAGGATATGGTCATGTTGGATAAAGACATAATTTTTTCAAATCATGGCGGGTCTTTATTTAATAGAAACTATATATTTCTTTCTCTAATATGACCATATTTTGTTACTGAACAATACGATAGGGTCCAAATTCTAGTTGCTTGGGCTTGAAGCTTCAAGCATGAATGATGTAAAGCTCCACTCAGACCTTGGCTTAAATTATAGTATCCAAGCAACTAGCAGACTCCATACACTTAGTCGTTGATGTTCCTATGCCATGTTAAAGAACCCATACTCCTAGCATACTATAGCTAGCTAGACTTGAGAGTTGTCTTACACTCGCTGACAGTGAGTCATAACCTGGAAGACTCGTATATATTCTCCACAAATCTATTGAGGAATTGAAAACTTTTTTGCTGGTTATGCTTCTGTTACTTTCCTATAAAATGTTACTTATTGTTTTCTGTTACATACAAACTCAATTGTATCATGTGGAGACTGTAAGATCTCATTTATTTTGTTTTATTTTAATTTTCAGTATGTGTTTTCACTTAATGGTAACAAAACATTATTGTTTTACATCATTTCCTGTTTTGAAGGTATTGGGAAATTGTGAAAAACATGATTTAGTTGATTTCATCATTTCCTTTTCAAATTTCTTAAAACACAAAATAAATGCATTAAACTCTCAAATATGTATGTCTTTGTGACCTTATTGAGGCCTATCTGCTTTTTTGGTACCCAGGTAGACGAACTTCTGAAACAAAGGGATGGTATCCATTCTTCCTTTACTATTGTCAAGCCAACCAATATTAATGGAAGTGGTAGTAATTTAAGCAATGGAAGTTCTAGCAAAATTTCTGGTGAAGAGAGCCCTGGGGAAGATGGAGGGTCAGATGGCAAGGATAAATCAGGCAAAAAGAAATGGTTTAACTTGAATCTTAGGGGTTCTGATAAGAGGTTGGTTTAATATTTTAGTTAATACACTTGATTTTGCTTGTCTTTGTCAATCAGCTTGGGTTGCAGTTTATGTCTGGAATATTTTCCTTTGCTTGGTTCTGCCAAGCTTGTATGTGATGCATTCAAAGGTATACAGTATATGTCTTGCTGTTTCCAATATTTTTGTACTCCAACAAACAAGACCCACTCCATCCAATTTCCTTGTAGCATCCTGAACACTTATAATTTTTGTATTGCAATTTGTATTGACATTCATTCTTGTAATAGTTACTTTCTTCATCCTTGCTCTGTATATCAACACCGCAGCCTCATCGAGCAAGATAAATACATTGTGTAGATATATTTATATTACAATTTTGAATCTTTATTTTTAAAAGAGGATAATTTTCATAAAATTTAATTAGATTGCGGTGACTAAAATATTTCTTACCTAATCATCTAATCATAATTTATCAATGGTAAAATTGATTACTTTTGTAATATAATTTTTAATTGATTTTGGTATGAAAGTTTTTGCATTAACTTAAGATAAAAAAAAAAAATTAAACTTGGTTTTTATATTTATTCTTTTCAAAGGCAAACATGTCTTTTTGAGGCCAAATTTTTTATGGGCTATAAATTTGTTGACCTATTTACACCCTTTTATATAAGTTTTATAAGAAATATAGCAGTCATACCTGACCAAATAGGCCCAATTGTCTTTTAGGCCAACATTTTCCTGGTTTTCTAGGGCCTACGATTCTAGAGCTGAACTTGGCCTTTTTAATAGGCTGTTTGGGTCAATCCATAAAGTCGGGCTCATTTTGCCACCTATACTTGATTAAAAGTCAACATTTTTCACCAGTTAAAGTTGGACTCAGGTAAAATAGATATATACTTACAAATTTGAACCAACTTCATGTTCGTTCGAGCGAATTTGAGTTTTGGATCGCTTAAAGTTGTAAATTCAAGTCGTGTGGAAGTAAAAGATTTAGTTACTATGGGAGAGCCTACTAATGGATACTTTATATCAAAAACATGAAAAGTAAAAGAAAAAACCTTCACAAGTTTGAAGTTAATTACCCTGTTGAATGGTGTTCCCAACACTTGCGTGCACCCTCGACATCACACTATTCATTACATTTTTGTGCTCATGTTTGTCTTTTTCTCCCCCTTGTATTGTGTGAGGAACTTAAGCAGCAATATAGCTGAAATCCTCAAGTTTGTCGAAGTCCTATCTATTTTATGATTGTTGTAGTCTTAAAAAGTACGTGATAGTTCTTAAAAGAAAAATATTATAAGTAAAAAATAAAATAAAATATTTAGTGCAAGCAAGACAGTCATATGATTTAATACACTTTTTTTTTTAAATGCGAAAGGACTCAAATACAAAACATGAGTGAATGAAGATTTTCTAAGATGTTGTTTAAGAAAGAAGTTAGTTTGTAAAATAAAAGGACATAATTAGATTGGTATCATTTAAGTAGAAATAATCTTCTCTAATAGCCATTATTTAATTTTTAAAATTATCATTCCTTGCCTTATCGTGATATTTTTGACAGGAGCAAACAAATCATTAGATTGGTTTCACTTAAAACTGGCCTTACGGTTTGACTCCTAAGAAAGCACGAGACTGTTTTTAAGTTTCTAAGATGTTATTGTCGTCACTTCATTAACTTGCAAACAACAAATTTGAAACCTAATCCAGGAAGGTTTCTTTTACGCTCTGTTGCTTGATCTCGTACCTCGGTTTTACTTGATTAATTTCCTCGATATTTTCCGAATTTTTCCAAGGATTGATTAGAAATTTGAGCACTGACACATGACATATATAGTCACATAAGACTGATATGAAATTCAAGCAGATCAGTTACTTGCTCTCCCCTTTAAGACGTTTACTACTGCTACCTTCTTTTCGGGGGTTCGTTCTAAGTTCAACAACTTCTTAAGACTGATATGAGCCTATAAGTGCAACACTTCTTTAGGGTAAAACTATTCGACACTTATATTCTTTAATTAAATAATTAAATAATTAAATAATGAAATGACATGAAATTCCGACATCTCCGATTTACTCTGTTATAATCCTTTTGTTCAAATATAATTTAAACCTAATATCTCCTGCGTACCTTCTTCTCGATCGGAGCATCTCATGCATTATGGCACAATTGGAATATAAACTTAATATTTAAAAAGTGCAAGACAATTATATAAATTAAAAATATAAATATAAATTAAATCCTAACATCTTTGTTTGATCACGTTCTTAATTGTTTAAAATATAAAAATATAAATTAATGTTTAATCAATTAATGTTATGTTTAAGTAAATATAGTTTTGACAGTAAGTTGTTATTTGATGATAAAATCATTCTAGCAATTCTCACTACAACAAAAATTGTTTTTAACGACAATTGTTTAATGGCAATAATTTAATTGCCGCTATTTAATTATATAATAAAAATATTAATGGCTAATATATAATAGCCACTAAAAGTGTATTTATATTACACTAAAGTTTACTATTAGCAATAATTATTTATTTAAAAAACTAGTCCCACATCGATTAGAGATAAGATAATTAAATAGTATATAAGTGAGTAATAACTATCACCTTATAAGTTAATTTATAGGGTTGAGTTGGACTCTTAATTCACTATAATAAATTAGTATCAAATCACCCACTATTACTAAAATTAAAAAAATAAATTAAAAAATATATAAATAGAAGACAACCCTCATCTTACAAAAGTCACTAAATGGATAGAAAGGAGACAATTGAAAAATAACTTTTAATAGCCTTTAAAATGGCTACTAAAATTGCCACTAAAAAAATAAGTTTTCCCGACAATTTAGTAGGTCTTTACCAGCATTTTATATAAATGCTGGTAATAGTATTAGCGACACCGGATACACCAACCATTATTTAAATGCTAGTAAAAAAAATAATGACCATTTATATGGTCACTAAAGAATAAATTAATTGCCATAAAAACCTAATTTTGGTGTAGTGTCTTATTTGTCTCCGACAAATTGGAACTCATTTATTTTGGGTAACCTACTCTTGGAATTACTCAATCAGATTCCTCCTTCCATCAAGTATGAGAATCTAATTTATATGCACAGTTGTCTTAGCAATAAATTATCTATTGGATCTTAGGTAGGTATCTAAGTAAAGCATGCTTTATTTTATTTTATTTTATTTTATTTCTCGTTGTTGTTTAAGGACAGATAAAACTTAATTTACTCAACGGTTCTATCAGGAATTTAGGCTGATAGTTCTCTCACACGTGAATATTATACGAGCTCTCTTCTCATATCAATTATATTACAGTTCGCTTTATATTTTCTATTGCCTTCGCATGCAATTGGAAAATATAACGAGGAGATCAGAATAATTAATAAGGGATGTTTAGAATTGGATAACAAATATTTCCATTATGGTGAACAATAGAAGTATAGCAAGATTCGAGCACCCCTTCAGTCAGCTTCATCTAATTAATTTTAAATTTACATCTTATAAACTTTATTGTTATAGTCTATTAGTTTTGATTATAGGAATCTGAATCAATATTTGTCTTTACTAGAAAGACAAGTGTTCCAGAAAAATGAAAGTTGTCTTATGTTTCGCAAAAGTAGGGGGGAATGAACATCGAGAATCTAGGCGTTTGAGAGTGAAAATAGATTAAAAAAAAAAAATTTCCAATCATAGAAATGAAACTTAATTAAATAGGCATGAGGATGGAACAGCCGAAATTGGTATATATGTGGTAAGTGATAACTGGTCGATGAAGATATAACCTGGAAAGCTGCAAACAGTTTAGTGCCCATGTGGAAGTAAGAAAATCTAGTAAGAATAATTCTTGTTTAATTTATTATAGATAGGTGATAATGTTAGATTTTGTCATACGTGTGTCACGTGCAAATGTCCCCTAAGTATGAATGTGTTTGGGTTATATGTTATGTGAGTGGCATATTGCATTAGCATACAGTCGTATAAATGTTCCTCACTTTATCAGCAAACCGCGCACTTGTTTTTGTCTCACTGATTGACTACAGTTCCCTCTCATCTATCAAAAACTTCATTCTCGCCAACTTTAAATGCCATATTTAAAACTCATAAAAAGTGCAAGCCATTTCCGAATTACGTTCTTTTTTATTGTTATAAATGTGGACATTCTTGACCATTTAATCTAGGGTTACCTTTCACGTTGATTACATTATTAATTCTTTAGTTTGTTAATTATATGAGAGAGAGGGGGGGAAGACTACACATTCGTAAAGCTAACTCCACCTCCACAAAACATCCATTAATTTGGTTTTTTAATAGGGAAAATATTAATTTTAAAAAGAAGTAGGTAATGTCACTTGGAATACATGGAGGGGCTAATTGAGTCATACCCACATTGTTTGGGAGTGCTTAAAAAGCACTTCGAACATATCTATAAAAAGGATTTCCAACTTGAAAACTAAGTCACATTGAGGTTATCTTTTAATCCTTTACGGATGCTTCCAAAGTAATGGTTGCAAAAAAGAAACAAAGATGATTAGAAAGTTAATGGGGGTTCTAATATGATAGGATCATGTCTGTCAATAATCTTATTAAATATTTTGATTTCTGATTTCATTGGTTAAATTTAGTGTAAGCACAACTTGGTGGGCCATAATCACGATCCGGGTGATCTTAATGATAATATCGGCGTCACTTCAATCAACAACAACAAAAGAAAGCATGATTAATGCCCTCCAGGGAAGTTGGTTTTTCTAAAATTGATGGTGGAAACCATTACAAGTAGTTCAAATATTTAAAAATATTAATAAATTAAGTAACACCATTTAATTGTTTTGAGGACAGTCGTTTATCAATCAATAAGAACTGTATAGTGTAATTGGGCAATCCTCTCACCACCCCCAACTTAAATCAAGACATAGATTTTAAGTGTTTAAGTGAAGCCAGTGCATGCCAAAATCTTCCACGTGGTCCCAACGTGAGTAATATCTAAGTATGTTGGTCAAAATAACATGACTAAGTATTCTGATTAAATAACTATTATAATATTCATTACGTATTTAGAATATAAATTATAAGTATTTTAACTAAATACTTATTAATAAGTTATTCATTTAATCGCAAAGAAAATAAAGTTAAATGATTTTTATATAAATTATAATATACTTTTATAACATAAATTTAAAAAATTAAAACTCGTGTTTAACTTATTTAAATAATTTAATTTAAAATAATTTACTATTGGCTTAAATATGCTTTTAAGTTAAATGAATATTTCATTTAATTTTAGCTCTTGATCTTTTTTTG